AATACATCAGGCCAGATATTGTATCTGTCCAAGAATGATCCATGTTCTTCGTCGAGTGCGTCTACAATCCGTGCAAATGCGAGACTCGCCACTATATCGAAATAATCCAGCAAGCTCCTGACTTTCTCTGACAGAGGACCGTTCCAGGTTGCCATTACGTTGTGACAGAAGGTATCAGTGATCTCTGATTTTTGTTCAGGATATATCTCTCTTATTTGATCCATGTTTAGCAAACACGTACCATGGCATGCTCTGCGAATAATACCATCTGGACTTATCCTGAGCACATTTCCTCTTTCCAAGTCTAGCAATAACCCTTTCTGCATGAAGTCCAAGTCATCATCTGTCAGTGGCTTTAGCAGACTCCCGTTGTATCCCCGTATTTTGACCAGGAATTTGGCTAGTATCTCGTACTCCATGCACACCAGATTCGTCACATTATAACGCAGCAACGTATTATCCAGGTCGAAACCGACGCAATCATAGTCTGTGAATTTGAACGTGTCCATGTCACTTTTGGTGGGATTACTATATGCAAAACCGTATCGGTCGTTAGAAATCGAACGCACAGTTGTACCAGGAAATATTTCTATTTTATCAGTCACTTGTTTCACTCGTTTGCGTATAGAAAAGTGTTTATATAACTTGGCAGTACGATAAAAACCCAGATTTCTAATCATATCCAAGCGCAATTACCGGCATCAATCATGTTAGGCGATAGCAATGAATGTACGTTAGCATGATGCAGTTGAATAATTCAGCAGATATGAGTAAATGGAGCGGCACATGAGCCAGCAATTACAGGGATGTTTCAGAGTCAGACTGAGCAACTCTGAAGTATAAAATACCCTAAATACTTCGATCCCGAGCATGCTTAGATAAGTAATCCGAGAAGCGAACGAAAGGCTGGTTTTTTGGTCACGAAACACAATATAACCTCAATTAACCTCAATCGATCATTCGCTTTATTCTCGCGAAGCTAGGACAAGATTCTCAACACGGAGATAAAGGAGAAAAAGATTTCAATGCACTCACGTTCATTGGCACGTGGACGCTGCGGATGTTACGTGCCTGTATGAAGAACATGTCATATTTGAACGAGTCTCCGCGGGGATCCGTAAACACGCAGTCTTTCATCACAATGTTCATGTATCTGCAAAATGAAAACGAGAGCAATATGTTCAGAAATATGACGAGTATATAAGTCGTCGGGAAGAGCTCTAATAATTTATTTCGAAGTTCATTGCTGATATTTTCGAGGAAAGAATTTAGAGACATCGTTGATTTTTTTCAATTTTTACATACATTTTATCACAAAAAAACAGAGAAAATTTCTTAATACAACAAAAAGCTCTATAAGGCCCGGTTTTATCAACGTAAGATTAACTTTAAGCTTGTTCATTCTAAGAATTTTTAATTAGAAAAAGATAAACATAAATTGTAAATTAAAACAAGACAAAATTAGTCTTGTTTGGTAGAATTAGAGCGCATTCCGTTTCACACATGATGCATCATTTATTTATAGGTCTGTTTTTTATTGCTGCACTCTGAACCGGTGTAATAATAAGTTAAAGTGAAACAAACGTATATTTGTTTCACTTTAACTTATTGCACTGTGTATACTGCGTTCAGAAAGTGCAGCAATAAAAAACAGACGTTGTTCATCAATTAAACAAAGATAAATGAAGCATTATGCACATCATGCTTGAATGCACTCTAGACTTAACATGTACGACAACTTCACATTGCAGTAGAAACAAAACCCTTTACTTACGCGTCGGCATTTTCGATAATGCCGACGATTGTCGCCTCGTTCCGCAGGTCTACGGTCGTTCGAGTCTTTTCTACAGCCTTTAACAGAATCGACAAAGTGTTATAGAGAAAGTATTGTTCACGTCTCGAATCATAAGACATCGCGAATGCGAGCGAACTTGCGTGTTGAATGGAACATGCAACACGTGGGAAATTTTCGTCTGCTCTGTTTTCGTTGCTGAGCAAACCATGTGATAGGATCACGTGACGACGACAGTCGTGCGCAGAAACGCGGGTAAATTGAGAACGCATATTGCATTCGTAGAACAATCGAAAGTTGGTATTATAAAATATATATACAACAAAATATATATATTGATTTAATTTCATCTATCTTTAATTAAAACTTCGTCATTCTTTTGATCGCAATTTTGCCATTATACAACATAATAATGGATTGTTTAAACAATAAATAATTCGATCATCCTAACCGCGAAATGTTGGTGTACGTGGATTATAAAAAATAGAATTATATTCATTTTGTCTGAATTATATTTAATAGAATTATATTTACTTTATCTGAAAATTATTAAAAATTATTAAATTCGCTTTCATATAGATTCGCATAGAAATATTTCTTCAATTCACAGCAACATCACATTTATATTTAACTGATCTAACATTTAGATCGAAAGAATTTAATTCTATATTAATTCTATATAATTATTAAACATTTAACTTTGTAAATCAAAATATAACAACAATTGTAAACATGACTTTGAAATAATTTTAGTTAATTTACCTAAAATACCTAATTTGTTCCAAAATACAAATAACGAAAAAGAAGAGAAATTGCATGAGATAGATAGAAAAAGAAATTGAATTTACAAATGGAATGCACGAGCGACGACAATTGTAACTCAATTTTCTCAAATACATTAATTAATTCTATCTCGAATGGCTCGCTCTTTCGCTCAGAAGTTACGGGATGTTAAACGCGTTATCGTGGGGAGATTCGATTTGTCCTCGTATTATACTACCACCGTAAACCCGATGTTAGTCTATATATAGTCACTCATATAGCCGTCATTGCTAGAGGAATTAGGTTACTTCCCAACGGATATACAAAGGGGTCTTGTAAATGGTCGTATCCTACATGCATCTAAAACAATTACGCGCAAATATTTCCGCGTAACTGTTATCTTTTATCACTGTCAGGTTCACGAAAGTTTGAAAATCGATGATTTCAAATATGCTTGCAAAAGCTGGATAGAATATAATTAATTCTAACATATTATGATTCTCTATAAATAAAATCTCAAAAAACATTTTGATATCTTAAATCCATTTCTTCTAAAAGATGTCTTAAAAATTATGAAACTAATAGAAAGATCATCATATGATGTTTTTAAGATGTCTAATTTAAATTTTAAATATCTCAAATAGCAAAGTGTGTATCAGCAAAATCGCACAGATCTGTGATTGTTTATAATGCTAGCAACTTGCCGTAGATTTGTCTTCAACGATTTCGAATATACCGATACATTGTAGCAACATGCAGACAACAATATGTATATGTATATGTATGCCAGTAGTTTAACAGCAAGATAACTGCGTTAATATTATCTTGCGTTGTCGGCAATATGACAGCATTGTATGATGTTGCATATTATTATGACAATTCAATGGCAATAGTATGAATTTGATGACGATTTTAAAATTGTCGACAAATTACTGGCAAGTTGCTACTTAATGTTATATCATGAAGGCATCAAGTTGCCAATAAATGAGGACTCAGTTGCTACAATTCTGGCAACATATGCTTAGCAATATACATACTTAGCAAGCAACATGTCAGTAACAAGATAGACACGTTGCTATTTGGATAGGTATAATTTTGATCAGAATAGTAATAGAAAAATTAGTTAGAAAAGAAGAATATATAAGCCAAAAAAACGCTTAATATAAATTAACAATTAATATCAATTATATAATTTGATGACTTAATTAAATTAAATAAATTACAATAATATAACAATGGGTTATTGGAGTCAATACGCAAGTTGTTTTAGTGCCATATAATATATTATATAAATGTTAATATCATTACAATTACGTCTTCAAACGTTTCGACCTTTACTCTAATCATCTTCAGTGAAAAATTATAATATTGTTCTAATGTCTTCCCCTGTCTATTGTTACAATATTAAGTTAACTATATATTTGTTCTTCATTACTGATTGCATTTGTCTTCCTATTGTTGTCGCATTATAAAAGTTCGTCCAAGATTACTTCGTTTATACTGAGGGACATAGCAGATCCTGGATTTGTCTTGGTTACAAAACTTTGTACATTCTTACAACTTTCAATAATGTGTTTAATTGTACTAAAATGTAAATAATTATTAATCATTAATAATGAAGCTGACCAGTCGAAACGTTTGAAAACATAATTGTAATGTATTAACATTTATATAATATTATATCATACTAAAACAACTTGCGCATTAGCTCCAATCTATTATTATATTATTGTAATTTATTTAATATAAATTAATATGTCAATAATTTAATATAATTTTTGTAATAATTTAAAGCAAATTTTATATATTTATTGTTGATATAAACAATAGACCTATATTATGTGTATATTAATGTGTCTATTAATGTCACTATTATAATAATGCATATATTGTAATTTTTCAAAACACAGTACTTGCAATTAATGATATAAAATACTTGTCTTGTAAATAAGCATATCCGATATATATATTGTATGATATCCTACATAATGAGCGTTGAAAGTCTTATTATTTTATATATTTTATATATATATTGAATTAATATAATTATATATTTATTCTATCTATCAATGTTCATATTTCAACTTCACATATATCTTTCAAATTGAATATTGCGCATTAGAAGATATCTAGTATTCAACACTCTTCATGCTCCGGTATCATCGTCAAAGACTTCCCTCTCATACAGCACTATTTTAATTTTCTCTACCTTCATTTCAGAATGCCTTACGTCAAGCAGCGATTTTTACGAAATGCACCGGGTAGCGGCATTTTTACTCCCTTCGGCATTTATTATTCGGTGCCGTGCGACCCGCCGCGATGAGTGCCTTCTTCCTGTGATCTACCGGTCTCTCTTTCTCCTCGTGACACATCTCCGTTCATCTCGCCGTGTGTTCCCCTTTCCCCTTTCGGTGCGTGCCTTTCGTCTCCCCGGGGCCTCCCCCGACGCACGCACTAATCAACTTCCTGGATGGGGCACATTATCGGCCTGATTGCAGGCAGATTCCAACGCCGCGGCGCGATACCTAGCTCACCGGCGCGGCATGGCGACAGATCTATCCGATCTCTCGACAGTCGATCGCGCGCACGAAAAGCACGTCGGAAGCTCTGCGGATGTCATTCGCGCCCGCAACTGAAGTGGTGCAATGATCCTGAACGTAATAGATCGGTTGTGACCTCCTTCGGGGCCTTACCACCTCGTCTTTCCCTCCTCCCCCCCCCCGCCATCATCGGGGCCAGCGTTCCACCGTGCGCTTGTGCAATTTGCCCTGATGGTTCCCGGTGGTTCACGTGAAAGGATCGTCGTGTGTCGCGATGCGCTACGGTTCGCACGTGCCTCGATAATCGTTCGCGAGAAGAATTGTTCGTTTGCCGAATTTGATTTTCAATAGAAAACACAAAGAGCGAAAACGGAAGCGAAACGGAGGATCGTGATAATTCAGGAAGATAATCACGGATTTTCATAAGCATTTTTTGCTGCAACAGTGAAAGCATTTGAATTTTAAATTTACCATTTCTTTTAAAGTCACTAAAAAAAAGTACTAAAAATAGAAGTTTTCTTAACGATATAAAGTTCTAAATAATTTAATCCCTTAAGAAAAAGTGTTTGAATATACTGATTAACTATTCAATATATTGAATACTTTTTCCTAAGGGATTGCATTAAAAAGAAGTTTTTTTAAAAGATTAATAAAAATAGAATATTTTTAATGCTATAAATCTTTAAGTAATTTAATTGCATTAAAGAAAAGTAATTTTATTCTTTAATAATTTTTGACATAGATAAACTTATGAAAGAACTATCGTAAAGGAATAATACACATTTCTTCTACATTTGGTAATCCAGACAAACTAGTGAATAAAATCAGGATGATTCGCATGATTGTGAAAAGGCATAACGCAGTTATAAAGGCCGCGGGATGAAGACTCGCGAGGCCTATTTCGACATTCCTCGTGCTACGTTTCATCTAAAATCTTGAAGTGACGTGTTTTCAAAAGCCTAAAGGATGTCTTTGGGGCAACGTATTTCCAGCGCGGTTGCAGTTCTCCGGGGAGCCTCGACGGAAGCCAAGGAGAGCGGCAGTCATACGTAAAAAGATTTCTTATAATTTTACCAAAAATTTAGGCTGCTTTTCACCTGGAATATCTTCCAGATCATGTATAGAGGAAATCGAGAAGATGACATCTGAGGAAGAAATCGAGGCCGAAGCGCAGCACAAAGTGACGGCGCTTGATAGGTTACAGATGGTTAGTAAACTTTTTCAAGAATCAAATTTTTATAGTAGAATCAATAAAATTTTCAATGCGTAAGCCTTCCTTATTACTTTCAATTTATTTTCTCAATTATCTTCGCGATGAAAATGATTAAAGGGTATATGGTGCTCAAAATTAACTTTCATGAAATCTTATTTGCTCCGGGAAGAAAAATATCAGTGTGATTTCATAAAATTTATTACGCGTTGTGGGGAATGTAGGTAATAGAATGGATGGGAAGTAACTTGCTTCTGGCACTAACCATCGCTGGAGTTTTGATGGGTCTAGTTTTCGGATTTCTGGGTCGATTGGCAGATTTTACACCGCAATCTATAACCCTCGTCAGCTTCCCGGGAGAGCTTCTTATGCGGATGTTAAAGATGTTTATCTTACCACTCATCATCTCATCGTTAATATCTGGTAATTATAATTCACCGACAATCCATTTTTGAGCAGATAATGAATAGAAAAAGAGAAAGAAAAAGATAAAATTTAATTGCTTAATGATTAAAAACAAAAATTTAATTTCGAATGTTAGAGTGTTGAAATAGCAAAGATATTATGCCTATTCTAAACTTCTCGTAGTGTTCATCTTTTTTTCTTTTTTTTTTCCAATATGAAGAGAAAAGAGGAAAGATGAATTGTGTAAAATGTTCAGATAAAAAAAACAAATCTATTATACGCTTAAAACTTTTTAACTTGTCTCTACATCTCTTTTATCCCCGAGCACATACAAGCAATTACTTATTTCAGGAATGGCACAGCTGGATGTTCAAAGGTCAGGAAGGATAGGGTTCAGAGCATTAACATACTACTCAATAACGACCATTCTCGCCGCTATAGTGGGTATTGCGATGGTGCTGATGATTCATCCGGGTAATCCGCAGATTAAAACTTCGGCTGCGGCGGTAGTGAAAGCTGAGGAGACAAAAGTTTCTACTGTAGACGCAATTCTCGATATAATTCGGTATGAAAAATCAGCCTCTAATTCCACAGTTACAATTTAAGTTCGAAATCTTTTGTAATCTTTCGTTCTTAGAAACATGGTGCCAGAAAACCTGGTGCAAGCGTGCTTCCAGCAAGTTCAGACCTCTTATATGAAGAAAAAGGTAGTCGTGATTGGTAGCGCGAATCAAAGCGAATATATAGTGGAGCCAACCTTGGTTTACAAAGACGGCACGAATGTGATGGGTATGATCGTGTTTTGCATCATCTTCGGTGTACTCGCGGGACAGATAGGACCACGCGGCAAATTGATGGTGGATTTTTTCGTCGTGTTGAATGAGATCATCATGAAACTCGTCACGATTGTCGTAGTTTGGTATGAAACAATAAATAATTTCACACGAGCACAAATTTAATAAATAATTAAGTATATAACATTATTCAATTTTATTTTTCAGTTTTTAGAATATACTAGTCAATAAAAATATAACTATTAATTTGACATATTATATATATAGTGTCTCACACTATTGCATTTTCTCTTATTATTCTTGAGGTATTATAATTTTAAGGCGAAAATCATAATACGAAAATGTCGAGCTACAATAATTTTTTGAATTAAGCTAATTTTAAATGCTTATAAGTCAAAAATTTTACTTTTATAGCCTCTATTATTATTTTTGGATCTTTTAAACATTCTAAGACGAAAATCCTAATACAAAAATATAATAATATAGTTTTCGAATTACACTATCTTTAACCAATTAATTCAAAAACTATTGTAGCCTCAACATTTTTGTATTAGGATTTTCGTTTCAAAAATACCTTAAGAATACGTTCTTAAGAGAAAACGCGGTAAACCTTCGTTAAACCTTCTATACACACACACACACACACATACACACACACACACACACACACACGCACGCACGCACACACACACACGCGCGCACGCGCACGCACACACACACGCACACACACGCACGCGCACACACACACACATGCACACACACGCACGCGCACACACACACACATGCACACACACGCACGCGCACACGCACACACATGCACACACACGCACGCGCGCACACACACACACACGCACACGCGCACACACACACACACACACACATATAGAGTTTGAGATAAAAAATATAAATACATAAGAAATAAATAATAAATAATAAAAAGTTAATAAAATAATTTCACATAAGCTTAAAGAATAATTCATCATACATTATTCAAATTTAATTCAATCTTCTGGGATATATGAGTTGATAAATGATTGAAGAACACGAATATTAACTTAATGTATTGAAATTTAAGATAAATAAAACATTTCTCTTTTCTTTTATTTTCTCTTTTACGATAATGCAATTGGCAATCGCTGTAGGTATTCTCCGTTCGGAATTATGTGTCTGATAGCTGGAAAAATCATGTCAATCACAAATCTGGCGGCAACCGCTCAAATGTTGGGTCTGTATATGGTAACCGTTGTATTAGGCTTGATGATTCACGCAATCATCACGCTGCCACTGATCTACTGGTTTATGACCCGAAAAAATCCAGCAGTATTCTTTAGAGGTATGATGCAAGCCTGGGTGACAGCGCTAGGAACCGCTTCGAGGTGATAATTAAAAACATTTCTGAAATTAAATCTTAAGTTTACGTGATCATTATTTTAAAATTAATTCAAGAAATTAATCAGAAATTATTTCAAAATTAATTAAAAAATCGTGATACTGTCATTTTTTATTTATGTTTATGGAGTGTGTATAAAATTGTGTATAATTTTGTATAAAATTGTGTATAAAATTGAATTTTCTAGCATGATTAACTTTTTAAAGAAATAATGATATAATCGATACATGGATTTATAGTGCTGCAACCTTGCCATTGACTTTCCGTTGTCTCGAAGAAAATAACAAGATCGATCCACGAGTGACGCGTTTTGTTGTGGCAGTTGGTGCCACGGTAAATATGGATGGAACAGCTCTTTATGAAGCCGTGGCCGCAATCTTCATAGCACAATTGAATGGAATCTCATTGGGATTCGTCGAAGTCATTACTGTCAGGTATATGTATTTCGTGAATATGATTTCTTTCGTTTCATCAACTACTAGTTATAATTGAAGAAAAGAATTTCAGTGTATCTAATAAATAAATTTAAAAAATTCAAGTACTTTGCTTTAAAATTTGCTCTGTTTACAGTCTTACGGCTACTTTAGCGAGCGTTGGAGCCGCAAGTATTCCCAGCGCAGCTCTAGTCACCATGCTGTTGGTGCTGACTGCTTTAGGTCTTCCTACAAACGATATTTCCCTGTTATTCGCTATCGACTGGATGTTGTAAGTTACATATCTATTGTAGTGTCTATACATTGTATGTTCATAATCGTTGTGATTTTTTATCGATTATCGAAGAATAATCTGATCAAAATTTGAATATGCTATTAAAAATTATATATATATATTAGTAGTAGTCGACGATAATTGATAGACGATTGAGAACAACAGGTATTATTCAATTAGAACGGTAAAATTAAAGCAATCGTTTTGCTTCAAGGGATCGGATCAGGACTTCGATCAACGTTTTGGGCGATGGTTACGGGGCTGGAATAGTTTACCACTTAAGTAAAGCAGAACTAGACAAGATGGACGAGGAAAGGAGACTAGAGGGTTTGGAAACTGGAAAGCCTCTCGAAATTGCCGCTGAGAGCTGTCGAGAAGAGCCAGGAATACATGAACAAACTTCTGAGACGAAAATCTGAGATCTTTTTATAGATTTCAGCAAAGACATGATGCTGTTTCGCTAATCTTCGTCTCTGCCATGTAGATTAACTTTTTATTGTGGTTTAACCCTACTTACCTTTTTCTAATTCTCAGAACTAGAAAAAAATAAAAGTGAGTTAAACTGATATTAAAAACCGAGATTAAAGTTAATCTACTCATTGGTGGAAATGGACATAAAAATGTTATCCGTCAGTTCGCAAGAATTACTCGTCCCTGTGTTAAGTATATTCGTATAATGCGATTGATTTTCACTGCCGAAATCAAAGTTTTTCCGTGGATTTTTAACGTATATCAAAATAAACTATACATATAATTATTAAGAATACTATAGGTATGATTCTTATTTAATGACATATAAATATAAGTTTCCGTTTTTGTAGTGAGTGTTAGCTAGTAGCGAATGAATAAAGTTAAACATTGAAATAGAAAATGTGAGCATGTTAAGTACAAATTAACGGAAGTTGTATCTCGATTTCTTATTCTCTTCTTTAATGCGTGAGATTCTTCTATTTTAGAATAACTTTAGAATTGACAAATGTACGCAGAAATAAACATGTACAGTAAAATAAAGATATATAATGTAATAAATTATTGGAATTTGCATCTGACACGAAAATCGTCAAAGTGCTAAAATATTCATTTTTATCGAAGATATTTTAAAAAGATATCTCATAAATAAATTTAAGTGTTTTATTTCAATGGTGTCGATTAAAAATAATATTAAATATAACTGCAATATTATTTTAAATAATAGCTCTTAATAACGATGACTAAAATAATGATAAACTATCTAAATGTGTTCACAGTCGTTACAAATTTAGGTACGTATATGGTTATCAGTTATTTTCATTGAATAATTGTAATTTAGTAATTAATAATTTATTATGCAAATATATATATATATATCATACATCTAATAAAGAATATGACTCCTATGTAATATCTCTATTGCATTGACTTTTATATTGTCTTTCTACTTTTACATTTAAATATTGGATAATAAATGCCAGTGATAATTTTAAAGAAACATGTCTTCTATATACATATTGACATACGTGTACAATACGCGTAAACGCTTCATCATTTATTTTATCAATATTCGAAAGGCTTAAATAAAATAAATATAATGACTGATTTATTATAATAATTATGCAACCTTGTTTATTTAAATAATTACGTGAAGTGTCACAATTGTTGTAAGCCATCCACTCTTTTTCTTTTCAATAGACATGAACCATTCCATATAAAAATCTGAATCAGAATCATTAAGAAATTTATAGTGTATTGGTATTTAAGAAACAATCAAGCAGAACAACAAGTCATGGATCATGTTCTTTTTAGCTGAACTACTTGCACGGTTCTTTTTTTCTTTCTCTCCAACTTGGAAAGAATAAGAAGATGAAGTATACAAAAACTTTAGCTAAAAAGAACAGACCTATGATAATATCAAAATGATATTAAAATAAATCGTAATTGATTAAAAAGTGACTTTTGATAATCATTTGGAGTTATTTTGATGTCACAATCACTCATGTGTTTTGTTTGAATATTGCATATCTATAGAAATATATTGTTTGTATCATTTATATTGTGAAAAAGGATACGTCCAGAATAATACATATGTCTGTAAAAGATTTTGCAATCACACATTAAGGAAAAAATATATAATCCAGCCTCAGAAAATAAACTCTCTAAAATTTTTATAGAGTGAATTTTACTCTGAAGAGTGAATGTCACTCAAAAAATGAAATTTGAGTCAACCTTTTTCAAAATTGACTCAATTTTCATTTTTTAGAGAGATTCTTTAGAGAATTAGAGAGAAACTTTAGAAAGCAGTGTAAAGGATACGCAAAGTCCCCCAAAGAATCCACTGGTCAAGAGATGTCGCCTGCTAATAAAATATTTCCTCCACTGGCCTCCAGCCTTCATCAATAGCATCGCCTAGGACGATGATTCGTGACATTATATACAATTATTGCTAATTCTAATATAGTGCTCTTACCCATAGCCCGAAAACCGCAAAGACGTAAAACACAAATCCATATAATACAGTCAATCCTAGCAGTCCTGCTGTGCCACCCGATAAAGCTGCCATTGAGATCTTACAATATTCTACAACTGCGGCATTGTTTGCAACAGCCGTCTCGCTATATGCAACAATCTCTGCAAAACATAATCATATTTAATATCTGCTTTAGTTGATTTAGCAATATTCTATTGCATATCTCTGGTGAAATTTTAGAAATTTTTATACAAATTGGAATACCTTTCAGAAATATTGAGTCTATATTTTTTTAATCAGAATTTTTCATATATGTGAATTATGAAATATTCTAAGATTTCTCATACTATAATTTCTGAATAATCTTACAATAATTCAGATTTAATAAGATTTCATTAGAAACTATAGAAATCTTAGAATATTTATTAATAAAAATTAGAAATCTTAGAATATATATTTCAGAATTCTTCATATATAACGAACTTCTAAAATGTCAACTTTTTCAGCGCTTATGAAAAATGTTACAATTTAATATAAGATCTGAGAATATAGAAAATCTAAGAAATGTTCTAAAAAGTCAATTCATAAATTCTAAAGTTTATGTAAATATTTTTTTAAATTACATAAAAAATTCTGAGAAAAATATTCACCAGGTATGAAAACTTCTTTAGAAATACGAAAATTACTCAATAATTCAGACTCATCGATCGTGACTAATTAGTTATGTTACTTCGTGGATTAATTAGATAAAATGTGATTGATTTTATTAATTTATAATTTATATCTTGTTTGTATTTAAATAGTAAATAACAAACATAACCTCTCAAGAAAGTCTATAATATTGTCCAATTTTCTTGCGTTTACTACAATTGCATTTATTTTCAAGATAATTCTCGCACTTACCGCCGCTTTTCTCCTGCTTCGTTTTTATTTTTCCCAACATTATTTATTTTATTAATTAAGAAACGTTAACCTAACAGCGAAAAAATAAAGATACGTCTACACAACGCACGAACGATGGTTCAATCAGCTGTTTCTATCGAGACACGTCAGCTTTTGCTGTGTACATCGAGAACTGACGGCGGTAAATTTAAAGATAGTCACGTAACTCATGAGACATTGTTAAAACTTACAGATGTTCAATAGATAATTGCCAATAGCAATCAGTGTATATATAATGTAAATTTTTAATAAGTTACTTATCTAATAAATTACTAATTTTTGATAGTACATAAAATATGCAAACTCTAATCAGATTAATGCTCTTTACCAATAAAGAATGATTATAGGGCATGTGTATACATTGTTTTATGTATTTCCTGAAGAATCTATTTTATTGCATGTTCCTGTGACAATGACATATTATGTTGAAAATCTTGGCAAGGATCGATGGCAACAAAAGCAAGATTATAATTGTCGTTTTGAAATTTGAGAATGTTATAAACCAAATATCGTTAAATGATTTATTAGACGTGATAGTTTTTGTATTAATTAAATCGAATTAAATTCTGCTGTTTTAATTCAACATAATACATTAGTTCGTTTAAAATATATGAGTTTGAAATTATCAACAATTTCTCGATAAATTATTTAATCAAAATGTATAAAACATACATATGTACGTACATAATTTCTTATACGATATATAATTGTATGGATCATATAAATTGAAAACAATTCTGTGATAAGTGTAATATCCTACAATGAAAAAAATTTAATATAATAATATATATTTATTATGTAAATATTGCATTATTATGCAATAAATATTTATTATGTAATTTTTCGTTTATTTTAATATTGTTTTAAACTTCTGCGATATGTTTTAACGGTATAGACGTAATATAATACAGACACTCTTTAGATATATAATTATTCACAGAATTGCAATTTGTATAAAAATTATAAGAAATCAGACATAAAGTGTGTATTTTTTATACAAATTACAATTCTGTGAATAATTATATCTAATCTTCTTGACATCTTTATCTACTAAGGTGAGTCACTCCACTTTTCAATGTTTTACTTTTTAATGTTTTACTTCCTAATAATCAGTTTTCTTGTACTCCCACATTTTATATCACTTCATCTCTAGCAATTATGAGTGACACAATCATTTTAGATATGTGAGCATTTCGTTATATATCTATTGCTAAAGAGGACTCCAAAGTAAGTTAAAGTTCAAAATAAAGAAAACATCATTTATCGATAGAATATTCGTAATTTTCATTATTTTAAGATCTTACACCTAATTATACCTGCGTTTGACTCTTATTAACCTTGATTTATATTAATTATGTTTATAATCATTTCAAAATTATAAAAATTCAATTGTTATAATTATTTTCTATCATTCTACTTATTATTGCGATCACCAAGAGTTTTATGTTATTTTTTTAACGATCTATATGAATTTTAAGAACGATGCAAAAAATAAGTTAAAAAAATGAATAACATTGAATAAAGAAAAATTTTAAATAAATTGTTAAATAAATTACTGCCGTATAAAAATCATTCATATTTTTTAATTTATTATATATTAATTAAAAAATCATTGACAAAAATCATTATAATAATTCCAATAAGTATCCCGATAATTCTAACGTCGCAATTGCGAGTTTCCGAGGTTTATTCAGCTATGATGCGCGGTGCAGTTTGCTCGGCTCGAGGCTGAAAATAGTGTTCGCTCCGCTTGGCTCAGCATAGCTCCGATCAGCATAGTTCCTCGAGCCCCGACAAATATTCCGTCGCGGGGGCCCGATTTAAAGCGGTCACGAAAGCAGGAGACTCGGCACCTCGAAGAACCTCTCGGAGGTGTAAGATATACGATTTTTCGCACCCTTGTGCAATAGTGATGCGTTTGCTGTGCGTGTGTTCGTAAATTTCTACGTGAGATTGCGTAGAAAGTTTTTTCATTGATTTGTGACGAAGTAAAACGTTATTCTGAGGTGAGTCTTTTCGGCGTGAATCGTCGCGATTAATTCTATCTCTTCTCGCGGACACGTGGTTTTAAAACCAGAACCACCGGTTGCACCCTGTTAGGACGTACGTGTTGTGTATATGTGTGTGTGTGTGTGTGTGTGTGTGTGTGTGTGTGTGTGTGTGTGTGTGTGTGTGTGTGTGTGTGTGTGTGTGTGTGTGTGTGTATAAAACTGTGTGCGTGATGCTTTGAGTGACGTGTATGTGGAAAAACGTAGTAACGTTTTTTTTTTGTAGAAATCCAGCTTTTTTAACTAATTAATTAATTCTATGGAGTAGTTTGTTCTTAGGAATGTTATAAATGTGATGAAATTGGAACACATGACAATGATTTTGTAGCTTTAATACACGCTACATAATCATTAAAGTAATTTTAAAATAACAATAATAATAAATTCAAGGCTAATAAGACTCAGCGCAATATGGAAAAATAATTTAACTCCATTGTTCTCATATTTAAAACTTGGAATAAAGAATTAACTTCTGCCGATTTAATTTAATACAATATGTTTACTAATGGACTTCTTACAATTATGACGATTAATGTTTAATAATAAAGAAGACATCGTAGATCAATGGAGTTAAGTTATCATTTCGTACTAATATTGTGCATCCTTTTCGAGCTGACTCTTATTAGCCTTGAATTTGTTATTATTATTATTTTAAGAAGTGAGAGTCCTGTGTAAAATATTCTATCATTAATTTAAAAAATAAGCTTAGTTAAATGATAATATGGATAAATACTTAATTACTTGTTGAAGCTTAATATATTTCGAATTTTAAATATTATTTTCGCAATTTTAAATTCAGCAGACAGTCTTAAAATTAGAAAGTCGGTTTTATATTCTTATGCAATGCTGCTTTCTGAAATAGCTCTGCCAGAAATGATGAAAAAGCGTAAAAATGTTCCGAAAGACGAATATTCTTCAGTTATCAATGAAATCTATTAATTTTAAATTACTCAAAAGGTTTTTTAACTTAAGTAAGTTTTTTTAATTAGCAATTTAAATTTACTACATTTTTGTTATTCAATTAAAATTCTGAAATATTTTCTCTCTCTCTCTCTCTCTCTCTCTCTCTCTCTCTCTCTCTTTCTCTTTTTCTTTCTCAACTGCAGACAGAGGAAATATATTTTACTATTATTTCACTTTGATGTTACTTTGTAATATCATCGTGAAATAATATTGAAAGTAATAGTAAATCGTTTCCGATAAAATATTCAATACCGCGAACGATGAAGATAAACGAAATATTTATAGCACACATGTTAGAACATGTAGATTTTATCGACTTTCAATGAAATTTTTATTAATTCATTCTAAAGTGATTTTATCAAAAATGTAATAAATACCCATTAATGTGGATCCAATTACTATAAATAAATATTTAAGAATTTTTGAAGATAGATATTCACATGTGCTTTACAAGAAATATATCTTTAACCTTCAATTATCATATTAAACGCGATAATAGGAAAACGAGTTTCATATGGGGATATTTCGGTAAGCCATCGCAGATGCATCTATTTCTGCCGCGTTGCTGGAAATAAACTCTCAGAGAAGGTAAAATCAACCAGGCGATTCTATGTCGATGCATTGCAGCGCCAAACTAGATTTTTTTACTATTCAAGTGTGAGACAGAAAGAGAAAGAGAGAGAGAGAGAGAGAGAGAGAGAGAGAGAGAGAGAGAGAGAGAGAGAGA